CAAATGAACCATATGGAAGTGAAAAGGCTGGCAGTGAGGGAAGGATGAGCTAAATGGGGACATGAGTGATGGCTTTGTCTGGAGACATCACTTTGGAAATCCTAGACATCCTTTCTCTAGGACTAGAGGTTGAACTGTATTGCCTGTTACAATTACCAAATCCCCATTCCCCAAAATCTCACTAAGATACACTCCCCAGAGCTGGAGAAGTGATTTCTATAGATCCATAGGAGTAAGAACTTATATAGGACACAGTAGAAACTCTTACAGGGTTAAATAGAGACTACTTTGGGGGCACAGTAGAAACTCCTCCAGGGGTACACTAGAAACTTGTACAAGTGTGCAGTACAGATGTCTACAAGGTAACAGCAGATTCCTACAGGGATGCAGTAGAGATGCCTCCAGGGCTGCTCTGTCAGGCCCAAAGAAAACACCACTGCCCCAAATTCTGGGCTCCATTCACCTCTACCAAAGAAACCATTCCTCATCATTGCCAGAGGACAATTGGCTACCTATAGTGCCTATTAGCAAAGTTCATGCTGACCTCCAGGCTCCCTCACCCTGCTTCCTCCCACCTAAACTCTTCCAGCTCCTGTGTGACCCTTTCCCAGTTTCTCATCCATATATAAACTTGCCTTTTGGCCATGAATTGTCTTAGTTTCCTCTCCTTATCCTCTCTTGCCTCTGCATCTAGCCCCTCACTTGGTCTCCTTTTTCCCTGTACCTTCCTCTCTTTTTTGGTCACTCTCTCCTTTATCTCTCTTATGCTATGTGCAACCTAGTGGTCATGATTCATCTACTACTCTCTCCCTGCTCTGGACCCCCAGATGCCTCTGGCTGTACTCTCCCGCATACCTACAATAAAAACCTCTCCTCAGCCTTACCCTGGAGCAGCCATGCCCTCGGAAAGTGACTTAAGGTATGCAAAAAATGATAAATGTTTTGGGTTTCTTTCCCTCTCCCTTTGCTATTAGGATTTAAAAAGTTCAGAGTTTCACCATTAATCAATAGAGTTCTGATCAACTGTTAATCTAGACTGATGACTATCACAGTCTCAAGCTCAAAATCTTAAATTCCCTTTGATTGCTTTCTAAATATAAACACTTGTCAACTGCTTTTCCTACAAAGAGGACTGGCTCCTTTGGAAGAAGAAAATGAGCCCTGTAATTAGGGGGGTAGAGTTTCCTTTGGACCGGACAGTTTCTACTGCTCACTTTTCACTGATGTCCCGAAGAGGCCTCTGACGCTGGTGGGGGACAAAGGCTGCCTCGCCTGTTTGAGCTTAAGCTCATACTTCCTGCCTGATTTTCCTTGGCTTCTATTCCTTTCCTTCCATTCAACCTAAACACGCAACAATCCTGGCACTGCCACACTCTCCACCTAAACACAAGCACACCCCAAAGTCCAATCTCTTATTCTCCCAACATTGTTTTAGCACAACTTCCTGCTAAATCACTGTCCATCATTTACAGTTTTATTTACTGAATCAGTTTTCTAAGCATTGTGGAACACTTATTTTGTGCCAGGCACTAGGGACTCCATGTATATTAACAGATTTATTTAGTATCCATTAGAGCATACAAGTATTCCACACAGATGAATCATAAAATTTATCGGGGCAATATTTCATTCTATGCATTCTATATTACCTTATTTAAAAAGATTTTCTGAGCTCTATGTCTTTCTATTCTTTCCATGAGGCTTTCTCAACAGAATCTTTTCACGTTTATTATTTGAAACCATTTCCATTATAGTATTGATTTACAAATTGTTCTCTCTTCCTTTGTAATCTTGTTTCCTAAGGTTCCAATGGTAAATGGAGGTACAACTCCCCCCACGCTTCTGGAAAACATATGAATTCCCTGGCTTACTACATAAAGTCCTTGCTATGAAAGCATGAGACTGAAGTTCACATTCCCAACTCCGTGTGAAAAGCTGAGCCTTTAACCTCAGCACTGTGGGAGGCAGAGACAAGATGGGCTCTGGGACTTGCTGGCTGCCGGAGTAGCTCTAAGTTTGGTGAAAGATAATGTTTCTAGGGAATAAAGCAGAAGATGGGTGGATCAGGACACCTGGCTTGTGCATACACACATGTACTGCATGCATACTAAAGAACAAACTAGATAAAAATTGCTTAGAACTCAATATATAAATATATCCACATATATTTATAAATAGTGAGGATTTGATAAAGAAGGAAAATTATATCATCTATACATGCAGAATTCTGGGGCAGAGCTGCGTGGTATAGATGGGGGCTGTTCCTGAACTGTCATTTACTGCTACAGGTGTTGGTATACTACAATACATGCTACAGGTATTAGCATACTATTGAGTGAACAGGGCTTGTAACTCATTGCATGGACAAGGCCCTGGATTTGATCCCCAGCACTAGAAGTGTGTGTGTGTGTGTGTGTGTGTGTGTGTGTGTGTGTGTGTGTGTGCGTGTGTGTGTGTGCGTTTGTGTGTGCTGAGGGGGATATACTGCTGAGTCTGCTCAACGTAGAGCTGTGCCGTGGTGTCATCTCAGAGTGCACACTGGCCAAACAAATCCCCACACACCGTGTCCTCTTTCCAGTTCATGTCCTTCACATCCTGTCTTCCTGCCTGTCAACTGTCTTTATAGACCTTATTGTGTCCACTTTCTGTATACAACCTGTACCATTACAGACTATATTAAAACTTTTTCCAGAAGCCCCTAGTGGGTGTTGAAAATCATGGGGAAGAACTGTCTTCTCCCACACATGGGGACAGTGTGAACACGGTAGCAACTTCCAAGGGTGTTTTAACAGCAATATAGTTAACAGTTTAACAGCAGTATAGTTAACAGTTTAACAGCAATATAGTTAACAGTTTAACAGCAATATAGTTAACAGTTTAACAGCAATATAGTTAACAGTTTAAGAGCAATATAGTTAACAGAAATATAGAGGCACCCATTCTTTCTACCCAGCTACCTTTGGAGACGTTTGATTAGGCAGTCCTCTCTGCAGAAGAGAACTCATTGCCTTTCCCTCTGATAACCTTTAGCTTTTTCATGTGCGTACACCCTAAATTATAGATTTTCTACCAAGTCAGCAGACCTAGGGGTTCTCGTCATCCCCTTTGGAGCCCCTAACACAGGGTCCACAGCTCCAAGGCTGTTGCAAACATGGCAGCGCGTTGTGTGCCAGCCAGCACCTTTCCTCAGCTTTAGTGCCCGGGGAAGAGGAGTGGCCGGTCATCAATGCTTCCCAGCCCTGCTGGGAGCACACACAGAACACCCACCCACTCCCTGACCTCCACGTGCCCCTTCCTGAGGTACTGCAAAAGAGATGAGCTCACTGTCCTCTGTCTGCATTGAGGACATACAAGTCACCTTCCCAATTTGTGTGGACAGCAAGTTCTCATTTTGGCGCCGCAGTAGACCCAGAAGCTACAAGAACACAGCACCAGGCTCAATAGCAGTCTCCTCAAATCCATGGCCATGGGACCTGTGAGCATGACATCACTGAGAAACAAGGCCTTTGCAGATGCCATTAAGATTAGGTCATACTAGAACTACAGTGAACCCTAAATGCCAGAGGAAGGTCTTTTTAAAAAGATTTATTTTACTTGTGTTTGTGAGTGTGCTCACGTGCATATATGGGGATGCCCAAGGCACCTAAAAGAGGGCATTGGGTCACCTGGTTATGGAGTTGCAGACAGCTGTGAGCCACCTGACGTGCACACTGGGCATGGAACTTCAGTTCTCTGCGAAAGCCACATGTGCTCCTAACCATTGAGCTGATTCTCCAGTTCTGTGACCAAAGTTCTTAAAAGAGAAGAGAAATTTGGACTCAGGGAAACACAGCCAGGAAACAGTGCAGAGAGCCACATGGGGATGGAGCATTGGCTGACAAACACTGCTAAGGACAGTTTATGGAAGGAGCTGGCCTGGGAACAGCTTGATTTCACTTGTGTACTTCTGGCGATGTGTCAAAATCCATTTGTAAAATCTCTTTAAGCCATGGTATTAATGGTGTCTTATCCAGCAGCAGCAGGGCTCTAATGCACCAGCCAGGACACAATTGTCCATCCAGGCACGAAGGCAGCTTCCCACCTTCTAACTGTTTGCGCCACCACGTCCTGATGTCAGCCATATCTCCGCATTCCAGGGTCAGCCTCCTCCAAGGCACTTGAGAGGCTGGGCTGACTACAAGATGAAAGAACTCATTCTCTCCTCACATGGGCCCTTCTTTTACACTTGTATAAATGCCCGTCCTGTCCAAAGGCTTGCAGAAAGCGTGGGTTTGTCCAGAATCCACCCTGGCACTCACAGCAAGTGCTGCATTGAGCACTCTTCCCCAGGTCAGCATTGCAGGGCCATGCCTGAGGCTTTCCTCGGATGCCCAAGAGTGAGGTCACCCTGCTCTGGGAGCATCTGTGGCTGTGGGAACACAGCTCAATAGGATTTCCTCTGTCCGACTCACTTGGTCTTCCACAAGTACTTTGGCTTGGTGGCAGCAGTGGGAGCCTCAGTTTACCTGAGTGAGTGAACATCTTGGAAAATCAAGGAATGTGATTTCCTGACCTTCTATAGCCAAGGGTTGGGTGATATGTGGACTCACACAGCCCTGGTCCACAACAGTGTGAAAATAGTCACAGCTTGAAAGTGAGCAGACTGGTCCAAACTATGCAGTCATGACCAACCCTGCCTCAGTGAATTTCAGTGTCACACGTAAGCACCAGCAACCTGGAGTATTTATTCACCTTTTTGGTAACAACTGGCAATTAAAAATATTCCTGTTTGCTATGGAAACAGAAACAATACCAGTAACTTAAAAAAAATAGTCTCATTCTGAAGCTCAGATCTATGTAGGATTTCTAAAATAGTCTACTAAAGAGTCTTACGATCCCTCGGGACTGTGTTTATGAAATACACAGTCAGGCTTGAGCAATCTGGGCTGGAGGGCACAGGTCAAAGGGTAAACTGATGTGAAAAAGAGAACTTTGCCCAGATTCTCAGCAACCCTGTAAAAGCTGGAGGTGGTGGCCTGTGCCTGAAACCCTGTCCTAGGAAGCAGAGACTAATGGTCACCCAAAGCATCTAGTCCACAGGTCCAGTGAGAGGGTTTGTTTCTGAGGGTAAGGTGGAAAGCGAGTGGGAGGGAGACTTGGCATCAGTCACTCACCTTTACATGTGCACACATGAGCACACATACAAGTGTATAAGTCGCACACAGAGACATATACAGACACACAGACACACACAGAAAGAGAGGGGGGGAGAGAGAAAGCACGTCGAAGACAGATGACATGTTAAGTCTGAATTCACCCCACCCACCATCTTCTTCTGGAGTTTTATTTCTGTGTTTACAGCAACAATCACGCCCTGATCACAGCCTTTCTCTTCGCCTGCATCTCTATCTCTTGTGCACACAGAGTTGTTGCTCAAATCCAGTTTCCTAAAGCCGTTCCCCCGTTCCTTCCTAATGGCTTCAGTGCCAACTGTTGTAATGTGTTACTAATGTTTTAATCTCCCCTACATTCAGACTGTCCCACTTCTGCTTCCAGTTGATATTGACACCAGTTTTATTTCTAAAAGTGTAGACTGCTTTATGTCACTCCAGACTTTGACATACTTAAAGCTCTTACCTCTACCTTCCATTTTCCTTATGTGTTCAAAGTCCTTAATGTTTTGATCTTCTTAGACCTTTATGATTTGATCGCTGCATAAATTAGGGTTCCCTATAGGGACTATATACATAAAATGTTGAAAGGAAATTCACTGGAACAGCTTACAGACTGTGATCTGCATAGTCCAACAGTGGTGGGCTCCTGATAGAAAGACCATGACCCTGGAAGTTGTTCAGTCCTTAAGACTGGATATCTCAACAGTCCCAATATGGTGCTAGATACCAGGAAAGTTTTAGAGAACTACTGGTTTCCGGCCTACATTGGAGTCCCATGAAGTAGGTGTAACCCCAGCGCACAACTCAGGAGCACACCAGATGCACTTGCTAGTGACAGTGGACACAAGCATGCAAGAAGCAGACACGTGCTTCCCGAAATCACAAGAACTGTCTCTAGCCCAGTTGCTACCACTGTTCCACTCTGAATCCTCTTGAGCTGGGCCTCCAGAGTTCACTGCTCTCAGCGCCATCTTCCAAACTCCTTTGAGGATGGACCATTAAGCTCTGCTCAGAGTTCCACTGCTTCTCTAGCCCAAAGTCTTCCACATTCCCCCAAAATGCAGCATGATCAGGTCTATCACAGCAAGTCTACTTCCTGGAATTGATTTCTGTCTTGGTTACCTTCCTATTCCTAATAAGAAATGACAACCAAGACAAATAATAAAGGAATAATTTATTTGGGGCTTATAGTTCCAGAGGGTTAGAGTCCATGAGCATTATAGCAGGGATCATAGCAGTAGGCAAACAGGCACAGCACCCAAGCAGTAGTTGAGAGCACAATCTTCCTCTACAAGCAAGGCAGAGAGGGATAACTGGGAATGGGGTAGGCATCTGAAAACTCAAAGTCCATCCACCAGTACCACACATCCTCCAACAAGACCACACCTCCTAATTCTTCCCAAACAGCTGGCCAACTAGGAACCTTGGCTCACCTTCCACCTTTTCAGCAAGCCCTTCTTAGACCACTTATTTGAGTGAACTACTAAGTACCCTGATCTTGCCCAAGTTATTACAGAAAATTAACTTAACATTATCATTGTTGGCCTGATCTTTCCCCCTCACTAGATTATGAGAAATTTTAGGGAAAGAATTCCAATTTCCCTGGATGTGGTGTCATGTGTTTCTAACTTTAGCACTTAGAAAGCAGAGGCAGGTGATCATTTATGAGTTCCAGACCAGCCAGGGATATATAGTAAGACCCTGTCACAAACAAACAAATCACGTTTTATCCTTTCTCCCTCTGAAGAACTGAGCGTAGTAACTAGAACAGACTGCACTGAATATGTGAACAGAGGATAAAGAAAGAAACATGTTAAAATCTAAGAATATAATAACTATAAATAAGAATAGAAGGGACTACAGTTTCATAGACCACCAAAAACCAAGCAACAAAATTGTTTCCTGAGCATTAGTTTAGGGAGAGATTTACTACTAGACATTGATGGAATTCATTAGACAAACGTAGTAAAGAGAAAGATGGCATTACATTTCTATCCCTTGAAGAGTCATTCTTTACTTATTTCAAAGTCTAGAGAAAAACCAGGCAGGCAGCATGATGCACAGAAACAGCTGAACGTTCCCCTCCCTATGCCTAACCTATTTGTGCCTTTGCAGTTGGTTATTTTAAGAACTCTCCCTATTTGTCAGTCACTACCCTGAATGCTTCCTATGTGCTTCCACTTAGCTCTCACAACAAGCTCATTGGCAAGAGGAAAAGGTGGCTTCTGAAGATTGGGGAATTTCCTCAACATCACACTGTATGTGCTAGAGCAAGGGTTTAACACAAAGACTGTCTGATTTGACCACCGTGTCTTAACTACACAAAACTTAGCTTAAAAATCTACTTGCTGATGGCCTCCACATAATTCTAAACATGCTATAGGAAGTTTATGTCAAAATCCATTCCTAGATAGCACTGTTAACATGGGGAGGATGATATGTGAAAAAAAAAATCAATGCAGAAAACTTGGATGTTTTTCAAGGCAGCATCTATGTTGTAAAGCTGTGAAAGTAGAGGTATTGTTGTGATTTATACTCTCTCTGACCTCTGGAGCCTGGAAAATGGACAGCCAGAATGGCCTCAAAGTTAAGAATTTTACTTCGAGCAAGCACTGTACTGTGGGACTGCCCTTCTCAGTCTCCAAGGACAAAGCTTTTCCAAAAAGCCATGAGTAAGACTGGTGTCCAGAATTCACCTGTTATTCAGGCAAGAGAGTTCACAGGGGTGCTCAGAAAATTAAGTTGGATTGCCATTGAAGTATTCTTTAGGACAGTCTCTAGGTGCTGTAGGAGGGAGGACCATGACCTAAATGTGAAGGTGTGCTGAGCTGCCTTTCTAGGAAATATGCATGTCACTATACTTCTGTTTGCTTTTTGCCTGTTAGTCTGTCTTTGTTAGGAGTTCATGCTAGCTGAGAATCTATGATCATTAGAGAAAACATTCTTCTTCTCTCTACAACATAAATAGGACTGTGCAGCATTTGACTTTTGTGCCTGATAGATTTTACTTAGCACATGCTTATCCTAATTGTATACATCAGTGGCTCATTCTTTTTTATTACAGGTAATAATCCATGGTATTGATTTACTACCATGCATATAGCTGTGGTGTAGATGGTAGACTAGTTCCTGATCTGGAGTTAGTGTGAATATGAAGAAGTGTGATTGCTAGGTTATTTAGAAAATGTGTGCTGAGCTTCATGAGAAACAAACAACCCAAATTTCCCAAACTGATTGCCTTGCTTTTCATTCTCACAGAGTGCTCTACTTTGTGTTCTTATAAACACCTATATAGTTAAAATTTTTAATCTGTTGTTTTTCCAGGTACCTCTTATATCTTTAATTTCTGTTTCCCACATGACTGATGATGGTAGACAGCTTTGCTTACTTACCTTTCACCTGTTTTAGGTTTGCCATGACCAAAAGCTCCTTACAGTTCCACATCAAATTGGGTCACTGAGGGAAGTCAGGGCAGGAAGTCAAAGGGCGAATCCTGAAGGCAGGAGCTGATGCAGAGGGCATGAAGGTGTTGTAAGGAAGCCCACTAACCAACATGACTACAAGCTTGACTATTATAGATGATTATTTATTAACCTATATTTCTTAATTATACATTATATTTTAAAATGAGCTGTATAAACATAATACCTCTATCAAGAGCAAAAATACACATTACACAGTAAAACAAAATTGACCTTAAATTTGCATCAATAAACCAAGATCCATACCAATAAAAATTATTCAAGTCTATAGCATATCCCCCTTTAAACGTAAAGAAACAATTATAAGCAATATTTGGGAATTTGGGCATAGTTCTTTAGACTACTTCCTGCTGATTGGGGATGCTATTAATCAGGTCTTTTATGGTGTATCCTGTGTGCTAGGTTCATCTCGGTCAGCAGTTGGGCAAAGTAATTTTGGGGGGTGTTCATGGCAACCTTTCAGGGGGTCTTGGTCCATCAAATCATATTAGTCTGGATGCAATCCACAGGTTCTCATCCTCTGTGGAAACAAAAGAAGAACCTCTTTTCAAAAGCAACATATTCTTAGACCCAAATTCTGAAATCAAGATACCTTTAAAGTATATATGTTTGTTACTTAGCTCCTTCACAGTCAAAAAATTCAAAGAAAACACAATAATATACATAATCCAGACTCTCTGTGAATTTTCCATCTTTATGTATCCAACACTGTGATCCATTTAGAGGTCTTTTTTTAAATCTGGAATTGTCTTTATTGTATAACTGTAATTATTTTCTGACCAGAAGCACTTCTTAAAATGCTAAGTGCTTAAGAATCTAAGCTGCAGCATTGCTAGGGTATTTACACTACTTCCTGCTAGCTCTGCACAGTCCAATATAGTGAAGTCCATTTACTGCTCTTGTAAGCCATGCACATTGCCCCATTTTCAGGCATACAAAGGGTTTATGCTGCCATTAAACAAGTTATAACACTTTGCTTACAAACCCCATTTAAATGCTCGGCCTCCTTAAAGAGCCAGAGGTTGTGCTGATAGCTTGGCCCAGAAAGCCAGAATTTCAAAATGTCATGGCTTTTTTTTCTTCTATCACTGAATCAGGAAGACCTCTATTACTGGAGCTGTCGCAAGATGCCAGCAAGCAAAGCCCATTTGGAACAAAAATGTTGCTAAACTTTGTTTTTTAGGGTCTAGAATTCCCTTCCAAGCCCTCTCAGGTTTTATGTGGATTTTAGTTGGCCATGTGGGTACCGATTTGTTGTAAAGAAGTCTTCTTGTTGGTTCCTGGATGCTTAGTCTGAAAATAATTGCACAGAAATGGTATTAATTAAATTATTGCTTGGCCCATTAGCTCTAGCTTCTTATTGGCTAACTCTTACATATTAATTTAACCCATTTCTATTAATCAGTGTATTGCCACATGCCTGTGGCTTACCAGCTAAAGTTCTGGTATCTGGTCTCCAGTGGAGCTACAT